AATCAGAGGAGCTAGAGAAGGAAAATTATCTGTGGGTATTATTAACCACACCCCTGGGGTGTGGTGATCACGGAGTTATGCATGTTTCCCAAGCCTGTCCCGAAGGACACACTGGCACAGAATGGTCAGAAATTAAGAGAATTTGGCTTCAGCCCTGTGCTAGCTAGAACTGATAGCTGCAGTCTTGCAGCTCTTGCCATGTGTATTTATCTCAAACAGGTCATGCAGATGTATTTAATACAACTTGGATTGAGGAAGGCCTGTGCACTGCACCACATGCTTCTCTTCAACAAGAAGAAAACAGGAGTACTGATCCTCAAAGAGCAAGAATAATAAGCAAAAATGGTAAGTCACATTTTGGCCTGAGATGCAACATTTATAAAATAACTGCACAACAATTTGTGTTTCTGTGCTCTTAAAGAGGATGTCAAAAGGGCTGAGTGAAACAAGGTGGGTCTAGCACTTTAACTGGCAGCTAAGAAATTAAAGTTGCAAGTTTGGGAAGCCTTGCAAAAAACACTGCTGCAAAGGGAGGTACAAGAGATTTCCCTACATTCATACAGGCAACTGTGACAATACCAGAAAAAGAACTTTTAAAGTCTTTGTTACACCATGCCAGCTGTAAGTAACTCCTACTTTCCAGGACACAAAGATGTCACTTCTTACATCTTACCGGTTTCTGAAAGCCTGTTGCTCAGAATGGCCTTTGAAATACTAACACATTTAATTACTCAAAAGCTACCTTTTCAAATGTAAGTATGTATATTTATACACATTTATAGCAGTAGAACCACTGCATGAAGTTACAGTGCCTACTAAACACTATCATTTTCTACTCTTCATAGTACCCAGCAAAATAAATCCATTAAAAATGGGAAGAGTGTGAGCAATTACAGAACAATAAATACAACTAAAACAGCTGGATGCAAATACTGTGAATAGTATTTATTACTGATACTGTTTCTACTTGCAAATCACCTGTTAGTCTTATTTATGTAACTATACAAAGTAGAGGATATGATTACACACAGAGAGCAATGCATGAAAATTTTGCATAATTACAGCAGCACTTTTCAACACAATGCTGAACGGCCCAGCCAGACGCCAGGAATCCTTGCAAATTAACTTGCTTCCTTGCAAACCTCACAGTTATGCACAGTCCCCACCTCTGGACTACAGAACATCAAAGACAAAAAAAATGTCACTTTCACTGAAGAGACATTTCCAGTCTTTTTGCCCCCTCTATAAATCACATGATACAGCTAACTGCTGGACTGTACACTTGCCACTTAGTAAGTTAGCATGCCCTACTACTATCTTTCTGAGTCCACAGTCACAGGGCATATATGTGATTTTTTCATTGGAGATTGTCAGGGTTTTTAATACCTTTACTTTGCAATGTACTTGCAATTTACATTTTAAATTGATTATTCACTTAAAATAATTATTTATTTTTGTAATTAAAGACACTACTTTGCAAATTGTACAAAAAAAGGATGCTCAGCAGACGCCACTAGGAAAATTCCATGCTCACGCAATCACTCCTTGCATAACTTGAGTCTACAGGACTAGTTTATCTTTCATGTAGACCAGCCACTGAAGCGAAACACATCATTTTGCCAGTACTTTCTGTTTTCTGGAAAGACAGCAACACTGAAGATCAGGAATCCTGACTTCCAAAGAGAAGATGCAAAACAGTGTTTATGTACAGGATAACTAACCACACAGCTTTGATAAATACAAACTGAAAGGCAAATTGTCTAAACAGAAAATATTTGAGACTCTTGAAATGAAGATCTGAGGTTTTTTCCCTAGTCCTCCCTAAAGTTAGTGGTCTGTGGAACACTGCTGTTTTCTAGAACAGGAATGGGCCACAGACAGCAGAGACTAGTCAAAAGGAATACAACCTAAGTTCATAGAGTCCCTACTTTAGGACAAAGCTCTGTTGCATCCTGCAAGTTTGCCAGACACCTCATTCTGTGCAAAAAACTAACAAATCGCTATCTTGGCAAACCCCACCTTTCTCAGAGAAATCAATCAGCAGCTGTTAGAGGTTGTTGAAGGACTGCAAGTACAGTGTATACCAGTTATTAGCTTGGGAAGTAATGCTGTTGCAGCAGCATGGGTTGGACCAAACTGCTGAGCTCTTTGAACAGACAATGTGGTTCTGGCCAAAAGAAGAGGTTGCTTAGCAATTCCAGGACAGTTTACTTTAACCAATGAACTCTCTGGACAGAAGAGCAGAACTGTATTCTGATCCTCACTCCTAGCCCAGCCTTGATGATTTCCCACTTCACCTGTCTTTACTTGCCCCATGGGGTAGGAAATCACAATTCTTTATTTCAGAAAAGTAGAAAAGCAAGTCACATAGCAAAAATATCCACAGCATATCTAACCATTCACATGCACAGAAGAACTCTTGCATCAGGACATTCTGCCTTCCTCCTGTTCAAGTTGGTAGCAACACACGCCACAACCAGCATGGCTCAAGCAGCTTGACTACAGATTTGCAGCAACAAAGTGGACATAGACCCATCAAATGCAGGTTACTGCCAAAACTCTGGTAGATAGCAAGAACCTTTATTTAAGGCTCAAAGTTGAAAAGATTTGTACCTTTCCTTTCCAGCAGTCTACCCACAGAATATCAACACTGACTGAATGGAATTATCCACATTTCCCAAAGGGTAGCACATAAAACGATTTTTTCCTGCTGCCCTTTTGTGCCTTTGTTTTGCTGCTCATGTCAAGGACATGACATGGGAAAGGGAGGAGTAGACAGGATATGCTATATGAGCACGAGCACTGTTATTACTTTAACTTAGCATTTTCCAGTGGGAAACCACGTTGGGGAGGGGAAGAGCCTCACAGGAAGCCTTTCATACAGTAAGCCAGGCTGGCTTCTGAACCTTTCCAAATACGCTCCCATGATCACCTCTTATTCCATGACTGCCTTTAGTTACTACCTCAGTTGAATTCTCTTCAGAGGTTCCACTCTACCACTTCATGAGCAAATGTTATTGCTATTTTGTTCTATCATCAAATTCCTTACCATACCAGCTGTTTCCAGTCAAACCATTTCATGACATGAATTTATCGTTATAAACAAACGTAAGTTAATCCAAAGTAAACCAGAGAACTAAAAGCACATTTGCATCGTTTACTATACTCGCTGTATATAAATTATAGTAAGCACAGTCATATAAATGCATCATTTTTTTCCACATATCACAGCACAAATTCAAGCCAAGAGGCCACTAATACCAAAATATCCATTACTCATTAGTGTCAGGAAGAAGATGCCAACATTGATGCAATGCTGCTAGAGTGCATCCCTTTTGCCATACCCACTATCTAAGAACCAGAAAGCTTTACAGAGGGCTTTTCAGTATCCTTATTGTTTTGCTTTCAAATTAGTGTTTCCTAATCATTTACCTACTGATGCCATATTCTGTAATCAAGGAAAACTGTTGCTTTCTAATTTCCTAAAAAGGGACAATATTCTCAGGTAGTTTTTTTTCTAACACATACCAGCAAAGGAACAAATTTCCACTAGTTTTTTCTGTATGGTTCTCACCACTGCAAAGGCTTCTATCCTGGTTTGGTTATCCAAAATAGCAAGTAATAGGTAAACTACTTTTCTGCTTATTCCTGGAGTCACATTTAGGGGGTAGCGACAGGAAGGAACTACCCTTGTTCAAAAAAGTTTACTATTACATGTAAACAGTTAAAAAGAAAGATGTCTCAAAGCCTAGTACAGCGTATCAGCGAGCCTTTTAGAGAAGATGTGCAGCCACACAATCATGCACAGTTTCTGAGATGAAGTCCTAAATAGCTATGAAGTGGAAAACATCCCATCATAAAAACTGTCTCACAAGACAACAAGTTCTGGATTATTTTTCCTCTGAAGCTTATGCAGGCTGAACTCTCCATTGCTATTTTACTAGGATTTTTACTTGGTTAAGAAAATTAAATCAGCAATGGAACGGGAGTTAATGGTATCATGGTAAATTTTGCTACAAGCTGTCATATGCTTGCAATCTCCATAGACACACAGATTCAAGAAGTAATTTATCTGCCTGTTCGCACACTTCCAACTGTCACGTCTGACTCAGACGCTAGTATGGTGGAAAAAGCAGGAACAAGCAGCTGAAATGACTGATACTTCTGCCAGAAGGTGTGAAGAAGCTGCATGAAACACGCAGAGGAAACTGAGGTCTACTTTGGTTGGTTGATTGGCTTTTTAATTCAAGAAGTTTTCATTTAAGTTTACAGTAATGTTTTATTTTAGGACACACATCTTTCAGATTCAGATCTTTACAAATATCTAAACCGTTTTTATACTAACCACCCCTGCTTTTCCACTACCCTCCTCAAGGGTATACACATGTAAGTAATCTCATCTGGTTTAATCCCCCCAAAATGGGTATCATGTCTCTTTCTGCACTCTTGCAAAGATCTGCGGTCTTCCTAGCTCAGGACAACAAAGCTTTATCCTCTTAGTCATGGTGGCTGAAGGCAGCACAGGCTCTTTTGCCATGGGTAACTACATAAACCCTCCCTCCATCTCGTAATCCATACAGGCCTGAAAAACAGGAAGCTTATTTAATGGAGTAGTACAGCTGAAGTAATGGGTGCTCAAGAGTGGAACTGATAAGCAGCTGGATAACAGACTAACAATGGAGATGTCTGTAGTCCAAAGGACTAAGAGCCTTTGCAACGTACTTGCAGCACTATACAATGAGGACATGCAGAACAGGAAGTGTCCAGGTAATACTGTATAAACCAAACACATGGTGATGGGACTGTCATTTGAGAGACTGTTTAGCTTTTGGATAAAAATCAATCAAAACAACAAAAAGTCTATTAAGTCTGCAAAACAGGATACAGTAGAAAGCACACAAGACACAAGCAATTAATTAAATAGAAAATATGAATTGGAATTTTGCTTATTGACCTCAGTAAGGAGCACCATACTTGCTAGCTACCAGACATTCGCATACCTGAGCAGCAAATCCAGTAACCAAGTTACATGACTGAGCATGAGCAGGGCACAGTGGGGAAGGAGAAACTATCACTCTGTGCTTCCTCATAGCTCCCGCTTCAGCAGATCTCTCCCTTTACTCTGACACCAAAGTTGTCCAAACCCACTCTCCAGTCAGACCACCTGAAAACTCACCTTTCTAATGACAAGCATTTTTATATAAGCAAGCACTCCCAGCACTTAGCACTTTCTTAAAGGAACTATTTTATTTTTGAAATGGGATGCATGTCCTGCCTCTACACTGTGGCCACAGTAGTGCATCTGTGGAGGCTCTTAAGTCTACTCATCATCCTCCTTGCTTTTCTTCCTTAAATACCAGCAGTCAATGAAATCAGTGTCTCACAGCATTTTCATAAATAAAGCTAACTCTTTATATTTTGTTATTTAAAATGTTTGATGAAATTCAATATTATGCTGCCCAAAAGGTCACAGTATTAGTTATCCAATTATCACTATAACTGCAGCTACCACAACTTAGCAGTGCACTGCAGCATACACACCACACTTAGCTATTTTAAACTAAAACAGAAAGGGTGTCTTTTGCTATACATTATACTTGCTTATACATGATTCTGCAACATGCATACATTTATACTTGGACATAGAATGATAGAATAGTTAGGGTTGGAAAGGACCTTAAGATCATCAAGTTCCAACCCCCTGCTATGACAACTCTCAAATTAAACTGGACAACTTGTTATAGCCTTCTAAAGAGTTGACAGATGGTTTGCGTACCTTGCAGCCATTAAAACCTCATACTGTAACTCTCTCTGATCCTTCAAGATAAGCAGACTCTTATCACATAGGAATTTGGAGAAAATCTTCCCAAGGAACTTAAATACCACAGGAAAACATGCCTTTGACTGTGGAAACAGCAGATTCATCCATGAGGATTTTGTCAATATTGCCCAAATCTGTTATTATCTGCCATTTAGAAAATAGTCTTTCAGCTATTGAAAATAGGATGCAGTCAAATGTCATGGGAAAAAAAAAAAACAAACACAAACCTCAAGCAGTTACTAAGTCCTACCTGAACTAAATTCTAAGACTAAAAGCAAAAATTAAGCTTTGCAATGCTGTCATCAACAGTTAATGGTGGTACCTAGTGCTCATCACCTACAATTTTGACTGTACAGCCTAATAAAACAGTAAGTGGTATGTGCCAGACTTCCTCCTTAAAAGTATTAGCAGAAGAAGCAGCACTCCCTCTCCAAAAGCTTCAGGATTTGAAGCATGATTTGAGCAACAGTGTCTTACACGTTGCGTAATCCGAGCTTACACAATGAATTTCTACAAAATACCCTATTTGTCTAACTGTTCTCATCATTAACTGGAACAAATGAAAGCAGGAAAAGGGAAAAAAAAAACAACCAAAATCCAACACCTAAAACAAACAACTTAGTACATTTGGGACATATGTTTGAAGTAAACCTCATACATCTTTTAAATAATTTAATTATGTTTGGTAAATTCAACTTAACAGCATTTCGCAAATATTAAAGCACTTCAGACAAAGCTTAGAACAATTATGACATTATTCAAACATCATGGATATTTAAATTACGATTTAGTACAATTACAGTAGGCCAGAACTAATATACATGACTTCTGAACTTTCTTACAGCTTAAGTGGTTAACTGAATTTTTCTTTACCTGTTTAATTAAAGAAAAGAATACTTTTTCTATCCTAGTACTAGTAAGTCTTTGAGAGGACAAAACCATGCTGTAGCCTGTTTATGTAAACTGATACGACAAATCCCTTTTGCTAACTGCATTACTTAATCCTGATGGATTGCAAAAAGTTAAGTAACTTCTTTTAACTCAAATGGCATTAACACTAACAAAAATTATTTAGTTAGTTAAAACATTGTCTTACCGTGTAAATCCCAATTCTACAAACAGCAAATGACAGCTGGATACATTCAGACATAGTCTAAAGAAATTAAAATAGAGATATTACCAATAATGCTATTTACTACAAATTAGGTTTTTTCCCCATCTCTCCCCTTTCCCTTGAAAGCACCACCTAAGGCTATATTTATTTTTCTTCTGTAAGTGTGTATTAAACAAGCTGAAAAAATTCCCATATAAATCCAGATTATGCAGATACTTACTACCTTTCTATACAGAAGCAGCTGCCAACACCATCATACCTTCTAATTCAGTATTTCACTACAGGCCTCAAGCTACCTAATGCTCCCCAGAATGCCTGTATACAACATTAACATTTTGCATGCAAGCTTTCAGTTCCATTTATTTTTATCTACTTGGGTTTAAAAACAACCTGCAAAAGACATTTTAATAGGGTAATGTGCTTTTGGCTTCTTAGAGGACTGTAAAGAGCTTCCACGTTTAAATATTACCATTTTTCTCTCCTATCATCATTCAAATTCTCTTCCACTATTTACCAAAATAACATGTATTATTTAATATCCCCACATTTCTGAAATCATACTCCTTTAGTTTTCTGAAATTTTTATGTTCAAAAGAGAGCTCTCTACTGTCCTGAATATTCCATTTAAACTGATTTTACAGCTGTGAATAAGCATATTAAAAGCTTTTACCCTCAACTTGCTCAACTTCCAATCTGTTGTGATTCCACAATTCTATGTCTTCTGCGGTCACACAGAGAGGCTGAGGATGGACTATGAATTTCTGATGAAACAGATGAAAAACACCTTCTTTAAATAGCACAAAGAAGCCAGAAAATAAATGCAGCTCCCCAACACCTACTGTAGGCTTGCCTTTTTTATATACAGTACAATAAACCAGGCTTACAATGATTTATTCAGATGAATGGAAGAATTACTTTAAATAAGGTATTTGAGAAGTCACTGTAGGAAAAAATTAAAGCAATCAAGTGGAATGTTTTTACTGCATGTGTAACAAGTTCACACATCATCTACATGTACTTTAAGATGTTGAAGGTGAACTGCTGGATGTTACAGACTTCAAATAGGATCAGTGAATTATTTTTTTTTTTTGGCCTCTGCTTTCTAACCTTCTCCCCTCAAAAGCCTGCAACTGAAATACCCATTTAATTAGAATTGTGATTTAAAAGCTTAAAAGAGAAGTCATGAGTGCTAAAAAAATGTGTAGCAACATTTTTCATTAGCTGAAATTGTTAAATTTTAAATGAGTAGTATTTCACCAAACTGTCTGAAAGTCAAAAAGCACAGCACAAAAACCTGAAAGCAAACCTCAACAGCATGGTTGATTTTCTTTTCTTACTGGAAGTGAACTAGAATATTCTTACTGACAAGGAAATGCTGCTTCAAAGCACCATTTAAATTGCCAGGACATATTCTTTTCAGCTTTCAGAACAAACATCCAATTCTACAACTTGTGCTCTAAGTTTCCCACAGAAAAAAAAAAAAAAAAGCACAGAAAAACAGGAGTAAGACTGACTTTGAGAAATCCTACGTTACACAAAGTGGTGGGGGTGGGGTTATAAACCATACCCATACCCCTCCTGAGAGTATTTGCAGAGCTTGTTCCAAAGGTTCTAGGGATGGATGACTTCCCTCAGCAATCTCGTCTAGTGCTTCATTACCCTCCCAACTAGAAAGTTTTCTAATGTTTAACCTGAGTCTGCTGCAATTTAAGCTCATACTGAAACACAGGGTGATACATACAGTAATTTGTATTTTCAGGAGCCTGACGTATTCTACGCTGATGGCAGACTCAACTTTATATATAAAATAAAAGATTATTTCAGGTTGCAAGGGAAGTAAACATGCAGCAGCAGCAAAGCATTGCAATTTCTCAATGTATATAGTTTGCTTTTATTCTAGACAAATACAGCATTATACATTGTTTTCCTTTTTTTAAGTTTTGCTCAGTACTTCCAGGCTATACATTCATGGGAAAACTTAGCTGCAGTTCAAATTCTCCAGCAAGCACCAGTGGACCCTTGCTTCAGTAGAATAAAGCACATCTATGCTACCTTACTTATCTGTTGTTGGTTTTGTTACTGTTTTGAAACCAAAATTATTATCTCCCCTTCCTACTGCCACAAATAGTGCCATTGAATGCTTCCCCTAATCATTTCCCTATGAAATATTAAGCTAATCCCTTCCCCAAGCCTCCAAGATGATGCTTATGATCTGCAGTCTGTACCATTAAAAAAAGCTTATTAATTCCAATGCTGTTATCAACTTCTCTCTTATATTCACCTCTCCTTCCCCCCCCCCCCCCGGAAAAAAATTTACATTCCCCTCAATATTATTTCAGTTTAATCACTGAAAAAGCATCAGGATTGGATTTAAATAATTAGTTGCTTAGTGATGCTGTCCTACAGACTATCACTTCTCTCACTGAATTACAATGTATCTGATAATATGTTGCTACACTGGGAATTTATTCTTCATACTTTCATTACTTTGGTTTTGCATCTCATTCGGGACTATACAATTGGGCAACAAAACAATTGTTGGAGAATTTTCATTTCATTTACTTACAGTTCATTGTTGCTTTCTGAAAGGATTTTACATGGCAAGCATGAAAGTAAAAGAAAAAAATAATGTAAAAATATTCCTACAAATATTACAAAAGAAAGATACCTTTTTGATACAATTCTACAAACACTTATTCTTAAGAGATGTCACTTAGTATGTCTAAAGTGAACAGAAGAGTCATCAGGTCAAATATGTCTAACAAGCATGCATCTATGTCATTAGGTACACTTCTTCTGAGGCAAAACCTTACAAACATTAAATAATTTCTCCAGCTGGAAACTGAACTCACAGCTAACATACATATTTGCCCAAAACTTTGTTATTTCAACCACGTTTTAAAAACATGACTGTTCATAATGACCTAGAAAGATGTCTGCCTTGCAACTGTGGAACCTATTATTCACAAGTGTTTGTTCTGTCCTTTTTTTCAAGCAGTCAGCTATGAGTACAAACCAATTTCAGTATTTGGCATTTAAAAAAAAAATCTGGCAGCTGACACAGGCACACACTAATCTGCAACTGCACAAATTAATTGTTTTAATAGCTGTATCTTCAGCAAATATTACCCTACCTGTAATATTTACAAGAGAGAAAGCATTGAAGAGATTAATTAGAGCACATTTCGCAACTGATCACTTCAAAGCTGCAATCACCAAGTTGAAAGCAGTAGTCTCAAGAAACTTGGTGGGCAAAAGGGGAGGAAGGATCCTTATCAGCTTCTGGTAAGAGACACCTGACAGAACTGCAGGAGCTGGTATCCTCAACTCTGCCAATCAACATATACTCACCTTGACCTCAGCTTGCTTTGCCACAATCCAAAATAAATTACAGTGCTAAGTATAGTTCCAAGACTACAAAGGCAGAAAGCAGTACGAGAAAAGGAAGTTGTTTTTTTTCCAGTGATATGTTTCTTCAGTAAAATAAAGATTAAGATGCCCTTCTGATCATTTATAAAGAGGCAGTCCACTCCAGTAATCACTTGGAATTATTGGACCTTCCAGGCAAAAGCCTTTCCACCCCCATTTTTATCTGCATCTTTTTCAGTACATAAGAAATGTGAAAATTAGCAATAAGAATGTAAAGAATATGCAGATTTTATGGTACTTATACGTATGGAGCCTGGAAGAAATACTCAGTGCTTGAGTTTTTCAGAACATGTAGGTACCCAAAAGCACACACAACTGTGCTATAGTAC